TGCCTATTTTTGAACTTGGCTCAGCCCACTGCTGAAATGCAGCACCTAACAGTTTTCCTCCAGGGTAATGCGGACCTCAGCCTGAAAGTTCCCAGCTCCTGAGCTAAACTATCTCAGTTAGCAGGGCTGTGAAAGACCATTCTGTACCTCAGACCCCAAAGAGCCATTGCCAGTCAGATTTGACTAATATGGAGCTAGCTGGACGAGTGGTTTGACTCAGTGCAAGGCAGCTACGTCTATTGTCCTCTGTGAGGAGCTGATTTGGCATCCTGGTGTGGTTGGCTTGCTTTTTCATGACCTCCTCCAGTGCAATAATAACAAGCCTTGCTCCTGGCTAAGATAATGCTAAACCTGTTCTATGAAAGTGTCTTCTCTAATCGAGAGATCTGGATAAAACGGCACACCTTGAGATGTGTTGCGTCTTTCTGTTAATAGCAGGCGGGCAAAAGGTAATTGTGCTTGAAGAACGTTTTTCGAGGGGAGAAAACGTTGGGAATTGAAACTATGAATTGACTTTAACAGCCACATAGCTTTAGCAGTTGTGCAGTTTTATCACCGTCTCACGATCAGTCAAGAAGAAGTAGAAAAGAAGGCCTAGATCCCCAAACTCCCTTGAGCCTTGGGTGGGGAAGACAATTAATCATGCTCATCTGTCATCCTTCAGACGAGGTTGCCTCCTCTCCCTTCCCTCCCTGCCTGCCAACATGGCAGGGCATTTATTATCAGTTAAGCGAGTCGCCTTCTCCCCATCTCCACCTACAACCAGTCTCTTGCTTTCCATTAGAATCCCTTAAAATTTGCTTCACTCTTCCAACAGCAGGGCCAGACTCAAGCAGCTGCCTCAGGCGGCAGAATCCCATAGGGCAGCACCTCTTGCAGACATCACAGCTGTCCCTGCTGCTGCAGCCATGCTACCACAGTAAAAGAGGCTTCAGAGGAACAGGGGCGGCACCTTTCTGTTTTGCGTCAGGTGGTGAAATAGGACAGGATGGCCCTGTTCAGTGGTTGGCAACTGGTAGCCAAATGTGACCCATAATGGTTTGCTGCTTGGCCCAACAAGAGCAGATTGTTCCTTCCTTCCTGGGGTGTGCCACTACCACCTACACCCATTGTCTCCTCCACCTACCATGGGCTAGCCGTTTGTTTGTGCCATGTGCAACCTGCTCTTCTTTTTCCACCCTCCATTATTGGTGGGTGCAATTTGCCTAACCCAAACCATTCAGGAAATTTGGTTATGCATTGACTACTGGCCATTCCATGGACTAGGTAAGTGCCTAGCAATTCCAGTGATTATGGGGCATCTTCCTCTTCCTTACTCCACCCAGGGATTACCTCGCCAGGTTAAGGCATAAGAATAAAATAAGAGCTCTGATACATTCAGCATCCTGTTTTTCACAGTGCCTCCAGGAAGCCCTCCAGATGCCTCCAGCAAGCCCTCAAGCAGGACCTGAGGATAATAGCTATCTGCTGCTGTTTGCATTCAGACACATGCTGCCTCCAAACCTGGAAGTAGCACATAGCCACAATGACGAGTATCCACTGATAGCCTTATCCTCCACAGGTTTTGTCCAGTCCAGGGATCACCAACCTTTTGGGGCCAGTGGGGACCCTTGGAATTTTGAGAAACTACCATGGGCACCAGTCCAAAATTGGCTGCTATGGGAGCATAGCATAGCACAAACTATTTTCAGTTGGCGTAACAAACTTTGGCTGCTGTGAGGGAATGATATATAATGCAAAATGCCTGCTAAAATGCTGCTTCCATGCCCCTGTCATCAAAAAGGCCCTGGACATCTGCCACCACACTACACCTCTCTATTCAGAACAGATGATGCCTTGTCCTGGCATCCAATGATGTAAGGATATGTTTAGGGCAGTGTGTTCAATGTAGGAGAATCTGAGACAGTGCAAACAGGAAGAGCAAACTGTCTCCCATTCATTTTTGGAGGGGATATTACTGACACATGTGGGTGTCATAGGATATACCACACTGGGCTCAGTGGCATCATGTTGACAACTCCAAAACCATCTAAATTGGTGGCCATGACCGTATCATATAGATGCGTTCCAACTTCAGATCGGGCAAAGAAGTCACGTGCCACCAGGAACTGGGTGTGCTTTGGCAGTGGCTGGACTGTAGGAAGAGAAGATGAAAGACCACGGTGTGGGGAAGACCAAGAATGGCTCAGGCAAAAACTCACACATTACCTAGTGTGGGGTTGTATGCAATCATGAAGGATAAGGTCACCGGTATCTCTTAGGCCTCCTCTGTCAAAGGCAGTGGCTTCTGAATTGCTTGACTCTGCAGGAGGAGAGGAAGTGCTGTACAGCTCAGGTCATGCTTGTGGGCTTCCTTCCCATAGGCATCTAGTTGGCCATTGTGAGAACAGCATGCTAGACTCGATGGGCCACAGGCCTGATCCAGGAGGGCTCTAGTTATGATTGTTTTGGACAGCTTCACACATATCCCACTGAAAGCCCAGCCAGATCTCTAGCTGAGGGTCCCCAGTCTAATTGCCTAACCACAGGAAACATTTATGTGTTAAAAAAATATGGCATATGGTTGTGCTTTTCTTGAAATATAGCTCTCTGCATTTGGCAGCAAACACAGTTGCTTCCAGCAGGCACGGAGGGTGTTTGTTGTTCATCCCCCTGCACTCTCAGCAGGAGGCTTCCCCCTCATCAGATGGAACTAGGAGTATTACTGGCACACTCCTAGGGAAATGCCAGTGAGTAAAAACAACTGAATGTTCAAAGTGGGTATCCTTTCTTATTATTCTTTTTATCTGCACAAAGCTCACTCTAAGTGGGGGGCATACTGATTTGGGGTGGCTTAAAGGAAATAAGATTTCACTGGCAATTTGACTAATGAAATCACTGGAATAAGGCTCAGTTCATAGCAGTCATGGAATGGCTTCTAGCTCCATAGCAAAGCACAGGATTTGTGTCCAAAAAGTTGCAGGTTAAAGGAAGAGACCACTGCCTTGGAACGCTTGAGAGCCACTGTCAATCACCATAGACAATACTGGGCTGAGCCAATAAAAAGCAGATTCCTGTGTTCTTTTCTCTGCTATTAATGCTATTCCCCCGTCTACTTTATTATTAATGCTTTATTTTGCTGTTTTCCCTCAAAGGGAACATACTGGGTTCCTGTTTTTGGGAGAGCAAATTGGGACACCCCCCCCATCCCACTGACACCATTGCTTGCCTGCTCGCCCTTCCCTTCCCCCTCCTACATTTACCCACTGGCCTCCTCCTCCTCCCCAGCCTCCTCCTCCTCAGCCACAGGAAGCTGCACCGGTCTGCATGGCATCGGGAGACACTGTGCCAGTCGGTGCGGCCTCTTCCTCCACTACCATCGGCACCACAGACAGAAGGAGGAAGAAGAGTAGTACTGTGTGAGTCAAAGTAAGTTTTCCTTCTGCTTTTTGGTCCTGCACTCTGGTGTTGAGCGGCCAGAGCACAGGAGTCAAAATGAGACACCCAGGACTGCGATCAGCTTCTGAGAATTCAGGATGTCCCGCTTAAAATGGGACACTTGGAGGGTATGGTATTCCCTATCCCCTTAAAATTCCATAGACCGTTTTCTGGTTTAGTAAATTTCAGGACTTGTTTCATGAACCTGTTGTGGCCTCAGCCTTGCTGAACTATTGAACAAGGGATCTGGTGGCAGCTGGGGATTTCAAAGGGCAAGAATGGGGCGCATAGAGGGGTTCACTCTGTGTTAGCTGGGAGCACGCTACTGTCAAACAGCACATGACCAGGATAGCTGGGAGGCGGCCATCAAAGATACCAATGCAAAAATGGAAGAATAGCATGCAAAAGATACTTTGCTCCAGATGATGCACCTGTACCCAATGGTTTGAGTCCTTAATAAAGGTATTACTGTCATGACCCCTGACATGACCCCTTTTCACTTTTCAATTTCACTTTGTGTGAAATTGTAAGGCATTTGTATACTGCCTTTCTATATTGCTATACACAAGGAGGTTTACAACAACAAAATATACAACAAAAATCACAACCTTATAATAACCTGACTCAATATAAAAAAATCACAATTACAACATAACTTTAAAATAAACTTATATCAAATAAAGTAATATTCAACAATCCATTAGCATGTAACAGTATACAACAAAACTAAATCTCGAAATATCGGCAAATAAGAATTAAACAGAAATTTATTCGTAACCATTACAATAAATCATTACAGTGGCACCTTGGGTTAAGTACTTAATTTGTTCCGGATGTCCATTCTTAACCTGAAACTGTTCTTCACCTGAAGCACCACTTTAGCTAATGGGGCCTCCCGCTGCCGCCGTGCCACCATAGCACAATTTCTGTTCTCATCCTGAAGCAAAGTTCTTAACCCGAGGTAATATTTCTGGGTTAGCGGAGTCTGTAACCTGAAGTGTATGTAACCTGAAGCGTATGTAACCCGAGGTACCACTGTACTAAACTATAATCTATTTTTTAAAATAACAGCAAGTCACAATGCATAAAATACTGCAATACATACAGAAGCATGTAAAAGGATCACATTGAGAAACAAAGACACACAATTCATAATAAACAGTATGTAATACATGCAAAATAGTAGTTGTAGCAGTTCAGGGCCTTTTGGGTGGTAGTTCCCTATTTATGGAATGCACTCCTCCAATGGCATAGGATGGGTTCCGAGCATCGAGGGCCATGCAGAGTGGGTGGGAGGGAAATGGACAGAGTGTGCATTTGTATTCAACTGTCTAACAGTGTCCACATCACCCAGGAGACCGCAGTTGCAGAGGTAAGAAGGGTCATTCTGTTGTCTGGAGAGGTCACTTTTTGGTTTGCATGGAGAAGCTGGTTTTTCCCCCAACAGTTCCCAGTGACAGAAGTGCTCAGCTGTATTGAGGGAGCACCAGGTGTTTTGCACCCCTAACAATTATGTGCCTGGGGCAATTGCCCCTGTGCCCCCACCATGCTATGCCCCTCCCCTGTGAAGTGCATCTCTCTTCTATTGACATTTAGAGAAGCATTTAGACTCATGAACTTGAGATTCAGAATCTCATGCTCTACCAACTGAGCTATCCCAGCATCTAATTTTTTTTTACGCCAGATGGTATTTGAACCCACAATCTGTGGCTTAGGAGGCCATAGGTGACTGGGGCTCCACAAGCTGTGACAATGTCTGATTTTATTTTTTTAAAAAAACACTTTTCTAAACTTTTTGTGTTGTTGAGCTGTTTTGTTGTCTGCTGCTCAAGGCTCTTTTAGGAGGAAAGATGGGATAGAAATTTATTAAATGAATGAATGAATGAGCTGTTTTGTAAAAAAAGAGAAAAAAACACCAAACAAACCACCAGCCCACTTTTTTGCCTTAATTAAGAGGGAATGATAACTGTGAATGAGATTCTTCCTCTGTGGAGACAGTTAAGTGCAGATTTGTTTAAGAAAATGTTAATATCAACACAACACTTAGAACATCAAAGAGTGCAATAAGCTGAAACTTGCCTAGGAATGTACCTAGCTTCACCCTTTGATTTGCACTATTAAAGGAAGCTAATTGAATGATGTGAGTCACACATTTACATAGAGGGAATGGCATCCTACAAACGGCAGTTCCCAGCTTTCTTCGATCCAGGAATTTTGGAGCTCCAGGTCTAATACCAAAGTTGTCCAACCTCCAACCCCACCCTGGGTTTGGGAAGCCCTTGAGGCCCAGCCTTGTTCTCTTCCCCCCATCATTCCCACAGCTGTTCATACAGGCACTGCCCTGATGGGCTGGTGTCAGGAATGTGATCTCATTTGAATAGCTCTCCACTTTATTTTGATAATGTTGTATTTTATAACAAACACAGCCGACTGCTACCTCACTCAGTTTACTCCCTGTCCCCACTGTGGTCCAGCTTGGGTCCCATCCACATTGTACATTTAAAGCACATGGCTTTCCCCAAAGAATCCTGGGAACTGTACCCTACCCCTCACAAATCTACAATTCCCAGCACCTTTAACAAATTTAAGTTCCCAGGATTCTTTGGGGGAAGGGATATGGTTTAAATTAGGCTTCCTCAACCTCGGCCCTCCAGATGTTTTGAGACTACAGTTCCCACCATCTCTGACCACTGGTCCTGCTAGCTAGGGATCATGGGAGTTGTAGGCCAAAAACATCTGGAGGGCTGAGGTTGAGGAAGCCTGTTTTAAATGCATATGGTGTGGATGTACATGCTCATCCTACTCAGAGCAGTCCTGTTGATATTAATTGACTTAACTAACATAGATCCATTTATTTCAAGGAATCTACTCTGAGTTGGATTTGGTTGGATACAACCCATAGTCCAGCACTGGATCCAGCAGCACTGCCATTGGGAGTCCAAGTAGCTTCAGGGGACAAGGAGTGCCTATTGCCAATTATGACCAGTTCATAAGCTTTGGCTTTTCCTGGATTGGGATAGCCTTACCCAATGCTTTTGCAACCTTGTGATGAGATTGCTATAGTGCACTTTATGTGGACCTTCCCCTAAAGATGGTCTGGAAACTGCAGCTAGTGCCAATCGCTGTAGTCAGAGTATCGACAGGTGCTTGGGCACGTAGCCGTATTACACTTATTTATGGAATCTGCACTGACTGCCCAATTGCACCAACAGGAAGTATGTGGCAGTGGCTACACCCATCACAAAGAAGTGACCAATTTGGCACATTGTCATTGTACCATGGAGCTATGGTGCATCAGAGGTGGCAGTTAAAAGCAAGAACACTACAGCATCTTCCGTATGAAAAGTTTGCTGGAAGCTGTGGACCATACAAGGATTGCTACATACATATGCCAAATGAACATCCTAAATTTTTTGAGGACTCAATTCTAATCAAATGCAGGAGTGCTTGTGATCACCCTGATACCTGTTCCTCAGTGCACGGTACAAAGTACATCTGGAGAGGTCCCACATATACAAAAACAGTAAAAATAAATCACACATCTAAAAGCAATTTCAGAACTGGTTTAGATACTGGCTGGGATAAAACTCTTCACTCAAAAGGTTTGTTGAAAGAGGAACAACTTCAGCAGGTGCCCAAAGGACAAGAGCAAGGGCGCTTTTCTGAAATGTAAAGAGAAGGAATTTCAACATTGCGCAGAACAGACCTCCTGCTAAGATGAGATCTACAGGATGTCATCTCCCACGGAGTGCAGTGATTGGTTGAGTATTTAAGGGAGGAGACAATCTTTTAGATATCCTGTTCCCATGTTGTGTAGAGCTTTGTATTCTGGTACCAACACCTTGAACTTAGCCCAGTAGCTAACTGGCAGCCAGTGCAATTCTTGCAGCAGCAGCATAATATGATGGTGATACTCTGCCTCTGTCAACAGTCAAACTGCTGTATTCTGCACTAGCCGCAGCTACCTAGTCAAGCTTGAGGGCAGACCCATCACAGTGGACAGTGCCCTCTTTCTTGTTGTGCCTTTCTTGTGGTATGGAATTCCGTTTCCCAGGAGACATGGCTGCTGCAGTTCCACTGTCAAGGAAAAAAAGAACATGGCTGTTCTCATCCAAAGGAAAGGAAAGCTGAATGAGGCTACATGGACTTTCATGCCTACTTTGTTCTTCTAGTAAGATGATGGTGGATATGACAGGGGAATATTTTGCTTATTAAGTTATTTTTCTTTTCAAGTAGCAGAGACCCATTTCAGGTGATGTTCTGGAGGAGAAGAGGAAACTCAGAAAGGTGGGGGTACATGGAAGGGGTTCCCAACTTTTGGGGAGTCCAGCAGAACGTATCAATTTCACAGGGAATAAACACCATCTCCTCCATAACAGGCAAAACTCCTACACAAATGCTCCCAAACAAATGAAACACAGACAAAAAAGGCCACCCCTAAAAGGTACAAAAAACCCAACCAACCAACCACACACACACACACACACACACACACACACAACTCAGTTTTTAAAATGTGAGAGGAGTAGGGGGCTTTTGCAGGCATCTGGGGGGTATCTGAGGGTGCCAAGTTGAGAATCCCAGAGCTAAGGAATAATTAGGTTGTATCTTATGTAAGAATTCTTCCCAGTTGGGTTGTTTGTAAACAGCTCCTGCCATTTCCAATGTTATTTTCATTGTGATTCCCAAAGCATTGGAGGTAAAGTTGGGACGAATGAGCAAGAGCAGGTCTGATTTATGTTCTCTTGATAGTGCAAGATGTTCTTCAGCAGCTGTGGACAGGTTACAGCATGCGCCTAATTATATATCACACAAACATGTTACTGCTGAGTTTCTATAGGCAAGGTTCCAGGAACAACATGGGTTTGTACCGAGTAGCAAAATAAATGGCACCAGTGAAGTGTGAGAAATAGTCATTGAATACCGGGCAGAAATCACTCCCCTTCTGTACGAGGTGTCACGTGTGCCTCATTATGCATGTCATAAAGCAAGAAAAATGGGTATAAGAGTTAAGAAATGGGACAGGCTGGTTTCTTGGTAAGAGTTAGTGAAGCAGGACAAAGTCAGGAGGAGGAGATCCATTTCAGTAGCAAATTCCTCTACTATGACACTTTGTAATCCCACCTGCAGGCCCAATCAGAGGTCAGGAGAGGCCCAGATCACTTCCAGCTTTTGAGGGCCATAGCAACAACAACAATAGCTAATGAAAAGAAAATATGGCAGAGAAGAAAATAAGAAGAGTTATAAGAATTATATATATATAATTTGATTTTTAAAATTTATTTAACACTATTTTCTGTTTCCTGTGGAAATGCACTAATTATTCAGGGGTGGGGGTAGGGAGCTAGCTTCTGTGTACTGTCACAGTCAATATTAGGCATGGCAAGACAATTTGAACTCTCCTGAGAGAATGTGTCACATTTTGGTCTGATGTGCTTAAAAAACAGATTGTGAAACTGATCAAATATGAAAAAATTAATAAGGGCCTAAATTTGAGGCTCCTTTGGAGTTTAAGGCCCTGAGCTGAATGGCTCTCCTGACCACCATCCTCTGATTGGCCCTGATGATCTGATATTGTTAAACCAACACATGAAGGACCAGCTGTTGGGGGAAAGCAGTGGAGCCAGAAAGAGCCACACACTCTGGGGCAAAGGTGGGAAGTCTGTTGCCCTCCAGGGGTTGCTAGACTACATCTCTAACCTTTTTTGGACCATTGGGAATGCTGGCTGGGGCTGGAAGGGGTTGGAGCCTAAAAACAAATGGAGGGCCAGTTATACAGATGCTAATAATTGTGAGTTATGCATTAGTGTTAATATAGATGTTTTAATATGCATAGGCAGATACAGTTGGATGTACTGCAGGGATGGGGAACTGGTGGCCCTTTAGATGCTGATAGGCTCCAATTCCCACAAGTTCCAATCAACTTGGCCACTGGTCAGGGATGATTAGAGATGGAGTCCAGCAATATCTGGATGGGTACCGCATGGTGCAACCAGCCTACAGATCCCCAGATGAGGAACAGAGGAAGCTGCCTTATACGAAGTTGGGGCATTACTCCATCTAGCTCAGTATTACCTGCATGGCAGCTTTCCAGCATTTGAGGCAGATATTCCCCCCAGCCTTACCTGAAGATGCTAAGGATTGAACCTGGTACCTCTTGCATGCAAAGCAGATGTTGTATCACTGAGATTCAGCCCTCTATTTTATGTATTTTTGCATGTATATATATATATATATATATATATATATATATATATATATATATAAAACAACAAGCTTATTGTTCATTAGCCAATCAGGTAATTTGCACTGATGGGCAATAAGAATAATGCACATCCAAAATGAATTAAGCCATGCTACAATATGATTATTGTATTGCTTTTAACACTTGATTGGGAGCTGCCCAGAGTGGCTGAGGAAACTCAGCCAGATGGGCGGGGTATAAATAATAAATTATTATTATGTTGTTATTATTAAAAATTATACCATTGCAACCAGCTGAAAGGAATTAACATGCATTATAATCTAAAACAGTAAGTATCTTCTACTTCTCTAAAGTCACTTTTACAAGTTTTACAAGTCCTAAATACAACGTAGTAATCTGTTCTGGTCAATATTAATAAAGTTTTCCTTAACAGAGTTATTTCTTATCCCAACAACAA